GCTGGGGTGCCCCGGCCTACCCCGCCGCGGGGCCGAGACCGAGTTCCTAGGAGGGCCTCGGGGGAACTGTGGCCCAGTGAGCTGCAGGGATAACGTGCCTGGAAACCGTTTTGCTGTGAGACTTCTGGTAACAACCGCGTAGTTACCGGTTTGACAGCCACAACCGGGCTTGTTCCTCTTCAGGCGCATCGTTGGGCGACTGGAGCCTGCCCGGCACCGAGCCCCGGGGGCTGTGGTGTCTGGCTGCCTTGGAGTGCTGCGCCTTGCCTGGCATAGCCCCTGTCCTGGGAAATGCGCTCCCTAATGTGGCTGTAAAGTGCTTTTGTGCCTCTTATCTTGTCTTTTTGGGAGTGTATTATGTGCTTGAACATGCCTGAGAGTGCCAGGCTCGTGGTACGGATGAAGAGCTTGGTGTCTTTTCAACAGGCATGCGTAGGATTGAACCTAGGTGTTGCGGGTCCTCAGCTGGATGGAGCTCGTGCTGCAGGAATACTTTCTCTCACACACCACTGTCCTGTGAAAGCTGATGCGGTTCCTACAGCTGTAGCGTGTGTGCCCATCTCCAGTCAGTCAGCAGGCAACAGTAGTGCGAAGATGAGATGTTCTGGCTCTGGGAGCGCTTGTTGTTCTGACTGAGCTGGTGACAACTCTTTGTACCTGTACAAGGATGTAACAAGGCTTCTTATTTCCTCCAGTAGGTTGTTGCTGAATTTAGTGGAGATAGAACTAAGTCAGGAGTGGAAGTGAAGCATATTATCAGCTTGATGGCTCAGTTGGAAACTCCAGCAACCTCCATGCTTGTGCTGTCTTGGGTGTCTTGTGTCTTGTGGGACAGAAGGACCTTATGGATGTTACCTGTGCTTGTGGAAGAGCATGTGAGAGAATGCATTTAGCAGAGCCAATGCAGCTTAATGGTGCCTGATGAGTGGTGATTAATGAGCAGTGTTGGTTTTGTTCTGTGTTGGGGACTGGTTGCCTCAGTTGCTTCTCAAAGTGCCTCCCATTTATTTTAGTATGGCTATTCTGCCACTCTTCCATCTACTGTCTCTTGTTCCTTAGGCTTATCCTCCAAAAAGGTATACTAAGGTGCTTTTTGCTGCAGTTTTCATACTAAGTTTTTATGGTATATTTCTTTTTTTCTGCCTTCTGGTTTTTCTCATCTGCTCAGACAGCAAACTCTCTGAATCCAGGACAGTGTGGTGTTTGCTACCTGCTCTGAGTCTCAGCACGGTAGAGTTCTGATCCTGATAAATAGCTAGGTGTTGATGTAGTAAATGTAATTAATAATAACAGCCTCATGGGGCTGAGGAATGTCTCTAACAAATGTTAAATTAATTGCTCTGCCCCAAAGCAAGAGAACAGCCTGTAAATGTTCAGGATGTCTTTTTCTAGCTTATTCTTAGCAACCGAATCGCTGCTGGTAATCCATCTCAGTACCCTTGTTTTCACTTTTACAAGGATTTTTGTGGTCTTTAAGTTGTAGCATGGTAGATTTTGGTTAAGACTGTTACGTCCTGTCATATTCACCATGGCCACAAGGAACAGATTATTTCTGTTGTCCTCTCTGCAGCAAACAGTTATGTATTTGAAAGCTGTTATCACACGTCCCCTCCAGGCATCTTCTCTTTAGGCCAGACAACCCTGATTTCATTTCACCCAGTCTTTTCATTTCAGTCCTTAGGGCTCTGGTCACTTTTATTGTTCTCCTGTAGATTCTGTTCAGCTGCCTCCTGTATTTTCTCAGGTGCTTGCACAGCTGACATCATGCTCCAGTTCAGGCTGGGGTGAAATCTCAGAGTTTAAAAAAACAAACAAACAAAACAAACCAAAAACCAAACCCAAAAACCCACAAAGACCCAGGCAGTTAGAGCACAGTGCAGGTGGTAGGAATGAGGCTGAGTCTCCTGAATATTCTGGAGTCAAGCATAACCTTTCTGTCATGTCAACATTGCCCTGTGGACTGTGGATCAACTTGCCAAAGTTGTGTTGGTAACTAGTACCTGATGTGGGGCTGATTCTGACAAAGACCAAACATCTGTGGTTTTTTTATAGTTAAGGTATCCAATTAACAAGGAGGTCTGCAGAGAGAACAGAGAGTTTCACTTTCATCTGAATGTGCTTCTACAAACTGTCCTGGATTTTGCCTCCTTCAGCTAACTGTGAACATGCCTCTTTGCCTTCCAGGGGCAGCTTTAATCTGTTGTAGTGAGAAATGCTCCTACTTTTCCCCCCTTATGATCCACTTAAATCCACTTATATCGCCTTGTATCTTGACTGTGAAGTGTTCAGGTCTTTCATTTGTGTTCTGCCCTCCATATTCTTGCCTGAGGCCTCTGGGTTGCCAGTGTAATACAAATTGCTGCTATTACATAAAATAGGTGCTTTTGCAGATATCTTAAGAAAGGAATCATTTATTACCAGCACATGCTGATTAGGTAGAATGGGTGGTGCTTTTGTAGTCTTAACAAACTGAAGAAGGAGGAGTGGGGAAGAAAAAGCAAGGTGTGGGAGAAAGGATCCAGATGGGGAGTGAAGAGGTAGGAATTAAAGGCGTTTTGCTTATGTTGTAAGAAAAGGGGCTGGTGCTTGCAAGACAAAGACTCCCAATTCTTTAGAAAATATAAGTACGGTTTTGAAATGTTACAGCTGAGGCAATCTAAAGAGTAACTGCTGCTGAAAAGCATGTTCCTGCTCTCTTTTATTCTTCACCAAAGCCAAATCTGACATTTGCACGACCCCAGAATGAATCAGTCTGAGGAATTAAACTGGCAAGAAATTATCAGGAAAAAGAAAGAATACTTTACATTGGCTTAGCTGCCCGACATGATATGTAGTGGGACCGGGCAAACCCCAGAAGTGCTGCATGGTGGGTGGTGAGACTACAAGGAGGGGAAAGCACTTCCCATTGGATTGACTTGGGTGTAGCCTGAAACTGCAGCTGAAGACCTCAGATGATAGATGCAGCTGCGTCGAACAGCTTTTTATGAAGTGCCAAGCAAGAACACTCTCCTGTGAGTGGTTAAAATGATTAATATGCAATTGCTCCCTAAGGCTAGGGATGGGAAATAAACCTTTCAGACAGTCATGAAACTGTACGAGCTTTGTAATTAAGTTACTGTCTGCAGGACGGTGGACATGCTCAGATAATGAATGGGCAGGTGCACTGCTGCTCGAAGTGTTTCAGCAATTTCCAAGATTCACAGAGACAGGACTGGGCTGCTTCTGAAGTGCTGAAACAGGAAATGGTAGAAGCAATCTACTTACAACCTGATGACACAATGAAGTGTGCACCCGATTCAGGTGATACTAACTACTTTTGAGAGCAGCGGACAGTTGTCGTTATTAATGACCATGTCTTAATTTAAGCAGGGCCATCCTGTAATAGAAGACAGATGGAGTAAGACCAGGAACATCTGACACATGAATTCTTAATTCTCTCTCCGAATTATAAAACACACAGACAAAGAATTACAATCTTTTGTATAACACTAAGCATGCCATCAGCACTTAAATAGGCGTTTAGTCTTCTCTTGATGAGGGTATCCAAAGCTGCCTTAGGCATATTTTGATTAGAAGGGGAGGAAAGAAAGCCAGTGCCTCTGAAGTCTTAAAATTAGATTTGAAAGATGTTTTTTTTAGCATTATTGGCTTTTATTTTTCCAGTGTATTCAAATCCCAGAGTCCACTGCAGCAAGAAAGAACTGCCAGCAAAAACTCCTCAGCAAGTCTTATTGCTTCAGGCTAAGGAGGCGATCAAAGTAGAGGTAGGAATTTGGAACACTGTACCTCTGAGATGACGTCACCTTCCAAGCCCATGGCACCTTGGAGCCGTAGTGCTGATGGGTGATGCCGTGTTCTATAGAAAATGGAGATCGGCAGCTAAAAGTTCTGCTTTGCTTTGGTTACTCAGGGTGGGATGTCGGAGCTGAGTGATGAAGCCAGTGAGTCGGAGCTGCTGAGCCGCAGCCTTTCCATGTGGCACGGGGTCGGTCAGATGATCTGTCGGGAAGAGCTGGACGTTCCCCTGGACTTGCATACGGCCTCCTCCGTCGGCCAGTATGAAGTGGTGCAGGAGTGTATTCAGCGGTAAGGAGGGGCTGGGGAGGGCACAGGTCTATGGTTACTGCCAGTTATGTTTTTTCACCGGCTGCTATACAGGTCGATCTAACGTTGCAACAGGGGCGCATCCCTGGAGCTCCCGAAGAGTTCTTAAGCACAAAGTTTCAAGGGAAAAGTCTGCTGATAAAAATTATCTCCTTAGTGATTTGGTGGAAGTTGTTCTTGAGCTAGTAGGAATTCCCATGCAGGCTTCAGTGCTAGAATTTTTTTCAGCTTTCTTTCAATACAGTGATGGTAGCAAGTGGCTGCAGGAACCTACTGTCATCTACAGCTCCAGGACAGTAGGTCAGCTGAATTCTTTTCTCTGTTATTTAGTGGAGATCTGGATTTAAATAAGAGGAATTGTGGTGGCTGGACTCCACTGATGTATGCCTCCTACATTGGTCACGACACCATTGTGCACCTGCTGCTGGAAGCGGGAGTGAATGTGAACATCCCAACACCAGAAGGGCAGACGCCGCTCATGCTGGCCTCCAGCTGTGGAAATGAAAGTGTTGCTTACTTTCTTCTACAGGTGTGTATCCCTTAATAAATGGGTAAAGCCACATTACATGGTTTAAATTCTCTGCCAGTTGCATCCAAAGTGTGCAATTTATGTTCTGTTGCGAGTTCAGCTTCCTGACAGGGATTTAAACTCTCTTGGTATCACAGTGCAGAGGGGCAGTGGCTAAGAGACCCAGCAGAGAGGGTGCAGTAAAGAACATTCTCTGTTCTCTTGAAGCAAGGCGCAGAGCTGGAGATGAAGGACATCCATGGTTGGACTGCCTTATTTCACTGCACCAGCGCCGGACATCAGCAGATGGTCAAGTTCTTACTGGACAATGGAGCAAATGCCAACTGCAAGTAAGGAGGCATTGTGTCATTTCATTTCTCAAGAGATATCTCTTATTTCAGATATGGAAGCAGCAGTTGGCTTATGAACACATTTGAACATGGACAGGGAGAAGATGCCTGCTTTTGTCTTTCCTCCTGTACCTTAGAAAGTATGGCACACTATTAGCTAATACAAGGACAGGTGACCTGTGAACTGAACCGTGAAGTCTGCCCACGTTGTCACTGTTTATTTAACTAAGATCGAGAGAAATTAGATTTACTACTTGTTTAATTATGGGCTAAACTCTGAAAGCAAGCAGGTGCAACACCTTCTGAACTCAAGTGCACTTTGCAAGTCTTTCTATTGAATTTTCTGTGTATTTGGAGTTCAGTTTGTTTTTCTGAAGTGCGCAGTGCATTCCTGTGCCTTGGGAACTGCCTGTACATTTATGCATATTGAATTGCCTGAGGTCAACAAGAGGTCCTTGCTTTGTTAGCTCCTGCAAAATTGATTTTGCTACTGGAAGGCAGATATGTAACTGGAAGAGTAATCTGTTGCTGTGCAGCCAATAGAGTAACACTTGGTGAATCTCCACTGGGAGTTTTACTGAGATAGACCAGAGTGCAGTAGAACAGCCAACACGTGGTACAGTTTGTGATCAGCTGAGCGTAGAGGCTAGAGATGCCCTATTAGGGTATGGCGAAAACTGCAGCATATTTCAGCTTTGATTATGCTAGTCCATGTGCGCGTGTTTGTTCTCTCTCTAGGGAGCCTGTGTATGGATATACGCCTCTGATGGAAGCAGCCGCTTCTGGCCATGAGATAATTGTTCAGTACCTTCTGAATCACGTAAGTGTCTAGACGGTTCTCTGTAAAGCTGAAAATCTGTGGTTCCAGCCCTTAGAGAGGAAGAACCACAAATTCGACACCAGACTTTTACAGTGTTATGTTTGATCCTTGATGACTGTCACCTCTGAAGTCCTAGACTTCCAGGACTGTTCTCAAAGTATCTGCTTTCTGAAGGCTAATGCTCTGATTTTGCACTGGCTTTGCATGAATCAGGGTGAGGTCTAACTGTCCAGATTTAACTGAATAATGACTGAATTAGAAAACAGATAGTGCAGTAATCTCCATATTGTTTACAGGCTTGCATGCTTGGACTAGTGAGCATCTTCCACCTCCAAAAGCTTATGAGCATGCATGCCTCTTGATGTTAAACAATTTGTTTTTAATATCCCATTTAACTGGTCCAGCTTACTTCCAGAAGGAGGCAGCAATGGAAAACACTTTTCAGATAAAACAAACTAGGTCCCCGTGGTAATGCACAAGAGCCATATTCCTGGGCTACTTGGCATTCAGGGATTGGAGAGAGTGTGGATAAGGCAACAAGGTACTAGTGGAGCTTGAACTGTCTGTCAGAGGTGAGGCTATATTTCTGATGGGCTTGGAGGAACTAAGACAATTCTTTGGCCCCCTTGAATTTTTGTATACAGTGCCCTCTGCTACGTACATTTTAAAGATGATTTTTTTTTCTATAGGGAGTGAAGGCAGATGTCAGAGATAACACTGGAGCCACAGCACGGACACTGGCCATGAAGTATGGACATACGAAGATTGTGGGGCTGATAGATTTGCATGCGGCCCCAGTGCCCAAGGTCTTCTGCAGGGGTCCAGGTAACAGAGATGTTTTACCTTGTTCATTTTAAGATAGAACCTGAAGAGAGGTGCTTGATATTTTGAAAGTATGTTACTACATGTATGGGGTCGTACTAGCTGGTCTGTCCTGGAAATTCCAGCTTTTCTGAGGATGGAAGAGGCATATGGATCCAACAGTTTTTTTGCCTGCTGGCCCTTTTCTGACCCGGTTAAACTGTTTCACCCTCCCTCTTTTAACATTTCCTTTTTATTTCCACTGCGTTTATAGGACCAGTAGCAAATAAAGTAGGTAAATGAATTACTATGCTGCTAACAGTCTTTGTTTGAACTACAGGAAAATATGAAGAGCTGAGTTCCTCAGATGAATCGTGTTCTGCTCCCCAGAGACAGAGACCTGTTCGTAGGACCAAGGGTCCCAGCATCCATGATGGGCCCCAGGCTTTGGCTAAGATAACAGCAGTTGGAATCGGGGGAAAGAAGCAGTCTCGCTATGGTGAGAATAGCTAGAAGCCTAATTGAGAGTCCTTTGAGGTCTCTCAAATGCTGTGCAGCTATTTCTGTGCCAACATTTTTTTCCTTTGATTTGGGATTCATGTGTGACTTGTACCGAAACAGAGATAGCGAACACCACCATACACAGCTATCCAATTTCTGGTTTAAAAAGAAAACCCCTTGAACTCTTGTCAGGGCTGGATATCGATGAGTGGAACAAATAATTCTCTTACCTCAATTACTGTTCCCTCTTGAGAACAGGCCAGCTTCCCTTTTTGAGGTAGGCTCAAAAGTTTGAGAACCCTTCTCAAGCTGACGACGGAGGAAGTGGTTACACAGGCCGAGAAATCATTGATGATGAACATGAGCTCGCTGCTGCTAGACCTGTCAGTTTTGTCTTCTCTGATGCTTGAAATACTACTTAAAAATGAGATTATAAAACCCTTGCAATAGGCCAAGAGAAAGATCATCCCAGTTCAGACATCAACCCCTGGATGCAGTGGTATGAGTTTTGTTTTCTTGTGCGCATGTCATAGCCACGGGTATTTCTCAGGCTGATTACCTAGTTGTCTAGAATAGCCAAGAATATGGACTTAAAAGCATGTTCAAAGTTTGGTTCATTCTCTTAATGCAGATACATACTATCCCACAGGCAGTGGCTGTATTGAAATGATACCGTCAGCTTCTGAAACAATAGTGGGATGCTACTAGTGTGTTAACACAGATGCAGAGGGGTTGGCTTTACAGGGTGTGCTTGGCTGGGGATGGGACATAGCTGGCACCCTGATCTCTTAAGCAGATGTTTTTCCCCTTTGATGATTTGGGTACGAAGAGGAGAGGAAATGCTGAAAGCTGCTATTTAAGGTGCATCTCTGCTATGAGGCTGTTTCCTCTGACTTTTTTTCAATGCAACCACTTAAATCAAGTACAGCTGATGTGTGTTTGTGTGAGGGAGGCTGTAGACATATGCATTTCTCAGGGTCCCTTCTAAAAAGCACACAGAAAAACTGCTAGTTGAGAAAACAGTCTCTTCTTTTGATTATTTTCAAATCCCTGAGTGGTCACTTTTCCTGCTGGAGCCTCCCTGGTAACTTGCATCCTAATCTTTATTGGTTCTCCCTTCCTCCTGCACACAGAGCAGGTCCCTCCTCAGGGCTATGTTACCTTCAATGATGATGGCAGCTGTGAAGCAGACGATATCCGGAACCGGGACGTTACCTCTCCAATTAATGAGCAGGATGTGGAGAGCAGCAGCAGCAGGGGTAAGTCACTGTCTCAGAAAATAGTCTGGCTTGCAATGCACACCTGGATGTGAGACCAACCCCTTGGTTTGCATGTTCCTTTCCCACTAAGATGTTGAGGATTGGAGTATCTCTTATGAGGAAAGACTGAGAGAGCTGGGATGGTTTAGCCTACCGAAGAGAAAGCTCAGCAGGGATCTCATCAATTTGTACAAATAATCTGAAGGGAGGGTGTAAAGAAGATGGAGCAAGGCTGTTTTCAGTGGTGGCCGGTGACAGGACAAGAGGCAATGAGCGCAAACTGAAAGACAGGAGGTTCCCTCTGAACATAAGGAAATGCGTTTTGTTTTTTTTTTTTAAATACTGTGAGGGTGACTGCACGTTGGGGCAGGGTATCAGAGGTGGCGGAGTCTCCATCTTTGGACATGCCCCTGGACATGGTTCTGGGCAACCTGCTGTAGGTGACCCTGTTTGAGCAGGGGTTTGGACAAGATGACCTCCAGAGGTCCCTTCCAACCTCGCCACTCCGTGAAGCAGCACAAAGGAAGGATCTATGGGCAGTTCCTAAATTAATAAAGGATAGCGTGGCTCTGCATTGGCTCTGGGCTCAAGGAAAGGCCTTCCCTGAACTTTACTAATGGGAGTGCAGGCTTGGTAGTAATAACCCACTTTTCCACCCCATAACCAAGAGCCTCACAGAAACACACACACTCAGCCTTCCTGCTCTCTGTGGTACTAAACAGACTTGGAGAAAGATTAGTGCCTGGGATCAGACGTGATATTTCTGTCTCGGAATCGTCTTGTGTCATGAGTGCTGCATATGAAGCCTTGCTCTGGGTTTCTCCTTCCTTTACACCTCCAGCAGGTTTTGCTGGTAATTGTGTAGCAAAAACAGCACTGAGTGTAAGGAAGTTGAACCTCAAACTCTTTTTTCATATTCCTTTCCAGAGGATAATGTTTTCTTCACCAACAACTTAGCAATTGTCAGGAGCAGCAGCAGCAGCAGTGAATGCCTGACCAAAGCCCTGGGGGTCAGCAGTGAAGGCTCCTTGGAAAGCAATGAGGTGGGGTTTTTAATTTTCCTTTCTCTGCCTTCAGCTTGGCCAGTGCTGTCACCCTTCCACAGCCTGCTATGACTCTACCTCCGCAGGAGGCTGTAGTACCAGGCTGGGTGAGGAAAGGTAGTATTACAGGGACAAGAAAACCAATTTCCATATTTGAAGACTATGGATTGGCTTGTTTGATCTCTTGCTAGTAGCCAACTCTCAGAGTACGTTCACTCTAGAACAGGTTGTTGGTGGCTAGTCGGTAATTTTTAAGTTCTCTCCAGCTTCTGAACTCTTTGCAGACTTCTAGCTAGGCAGTGGTCAAGAAAGGATGTGACTTGCTAGAGCTGGGTCGGTCCTCGAGCTTGGCAAGATAGCAGGCAGTATAGTAAGATTTAGAGAAGCACAGCAGTGCTGTATTGGCATTTCTGAAGTACAGAAAGGGGAAGAGGTTGGAGGTTACTCAGTGGTTCAAGTCACAGCTCGCATGGTTCAAGACGTAGCTCTGGGGCTGACGTACAGAAGGGTGATATAGCTGAACGTGAGCAAAAGTCCTCTGTCTTGAGGAGCTTCTCACAGGTGGAATCTCAGTGTGTTGTATTGGTTCAGGGAGGATTCAGCGTTGCTCTTTGCTCTGGCACGTTGCTTCCTAAGCTGGGATTGCAAGAGCCTCATACCATTCCATGGTACCAAGCTGCCATCTTGGGAGTGACTTGACTCAGCCCTTCCTAATAAAGGCTTTGTTAGTCTTTGTTGCCTGTGTTTTTGGACCATGACCTGGATTTAGAGCTTGGGACTCGGAGTCTGCGCTTGTTAGCTATAGTGATCCTGGCATCTTCGCATGATCATCCTTGGCCTTTACATTTTGTGGGTTTTTTCTTTCTTTTTCAGGATTCTGACCATGCAAACAGTCCCCCAAGTCGGAAACAAGCCAAGAGCTTTAAGATCAAGAATCGCTACAGCAATAGTGATAGCCACTGGACCCACTGCCCAGGGAAAGCTGGGGGCTCTAATCAGCACCTAATCCTTCCTGAGCCCCCTGCCTATACAGGGCCCCAGGTAACTATGCACAGAAAGTTGTCTCTGAAGTAATGCAGACCATGTCACTGTATCAAGCTTGGGAGGCTTTTCCAAGATTGCCTAAGCTGCTTTCTTGGCCTTCTCAGATAAAAGGGAGGTTGTCACCAAAACACCTTTGATTCCACACCTCTGCCCAAACTTAAATGCTTGTGAAACAGCAATTTCTTGTACAAAGAACTGTCTGCTTAGGCGCTGCTGTTGCTTGGAGGGGTATTCTAGACCCTCAGGCCTGTGGGTGTGCTACCAAACACGGCTGTGGTGGGGGCTAGGGTAGATGTTGGTGTGTCTGTCTTCTCTGCGTTTGTTACAAGAGGCAATGGCTGCAGCAGACAGGCCAGTCCTGTTGTGTTGTGTGACTATGGAGAAGGGCAGTTAACCAGGGGAAGTCATGATTGCTGCTAGAACCCAGGAAGGCATAACAGCAACATGAGGAAGCAGGTGCTTACGATGAAGAGGCATGGCAATGCTTCTGTTTGTGAGGGTATAAATAAGTTTGTTTTGGATGGGCTGCAGGACCTGGCGACATTCCTTGAGCAGATTGGGTGCCTGAAGTATCTGCAAGTGTTTGAGGAGCAAGATGTCGACCTCCGGATCTTCCTGACCCTCACAGAGAGTGATCTGAAGGAAATAGGCATCACGTGAGTGTCTGTAATGTAGTTCTCATCTTTCCCCTTACAGACCATGCACGCAACCTGGTCCGGAAAGTTTAGCTAGTTGAGTGCTTTTCTGTCCTGGCCGTCTCCCACGCAATTTTGACATCCCCTAGTTCTTGCCTGCAAGAGGCTCCTGTTTTTGGAGGTGCCTTGGAGGACCCGGGAGACTGCAGAGGTCCTCATGGCATCCCACTGGGCCTAGGGACAGACGATGCAGTGTTTGGTCCCTGACAGTTTGCCATTCTCCCACCAGTCTGTTTGGACCCAAGAGGAAGATGACTTCTGCCATTGCCCGATGGCACAGCAACGCTCGGCCACCCAGCGATGCCCTGGAGCTGGCCTATGCAGATCGGCTGGAGGCTGAGATGCAGGAATTGGCCATTCAGCTGCACAAGGTAAGAAGTCTGCCACGAGCTGCTCAATGCCTTATCACGCTGCAGTAAGTGATCGGTAGCATATTTTTATGTTGTGCCTCTAATGGCCTGGGATAAAGGAAAAGACATAACTTTCAGTGGACGCACTTGGTGTCAAGTAGATCAGGTAACACCATGAGTGCAGCTTATCATCTGTGGTCCATGCTTGTGAAGCCTTTATGTCTCTATTTCCCATCCACCTGCAAACTAAAAGGGCGAGTGGGAGGAATTGAATACTTACTCTTTTTCAGTAGTGTCATTTTTATGGTGAAGTTGTGCAGCCGTTAGTGAACAGACTTCCGTTGATTAGGGAAATTGGGCCTACTGAGTATCTTTGCAAATGGAGAGGAAGCAGGAATTGTAACTGTGGGGCAGGTCTTGGTGTGGAGAGAAACTGTATTCAGTGTACAAGCCTTATCCAGCTTCCTTTCCCACTGGGTTGGGCACACTTTTGCAGGAACCCTCTGGCTGTCTGAGCCATTAAAATAGCAGGGACGCCAGGGACGTGTCAGAGCAGGCACATACGAGAGTGATGTACAGTACTCCCAGCCTAATCCTCCGTTCTGCTCTGCTGTAGAGGTGTGAAGAGGTGGAGGTGATGAAGGGCCAGGTGTGCCAGGAGCAGAAGCTGCGTGCAGTGGCTGAGAGCTGTTTGATGGAGCGGGATGAGACCTGGAATGCTATCCAGTGCCAGCTCAGAGAGGCGCAGGCCATCACCAAGGATGCTGGAGTCCTACTGGATCAGATCAAGTAAGTCACTCCCAGGAAATGGCACTGAGGCTACTATGAAACGGGATTTGGGCTGTACAGAGATCATGGGTCATACTGGCAGTCTTACAGGTGATGCTTAGGGTAAGGCAGGAGAGCTCACCAGGCATCTGAACCCATTTTGGATCCTGCCTGACTTTCTCTAGTAGAAAGCCGCAGCCATGTGAGCAGATGTGAAGCCTTGATTAGGTGCACGAGCTATAAATGGCCTGACTTTTCAGAGATGCTGAGTGCTCCTGTTTCAACTAGAAGGTGAAGGCACTCGGTTCCTTTGGAACCAAAAGGCTAAGTGCTTTCTTTGTGCTCACATGAGACCCAGTTGACCAGAGTATAACTTGGTGATGGAGTGAATGCAGGAAAGAGTTTCTAACTTCCAAACCACATCAAAGGACTTGTAATGTCTAGCCCTGCCTAGTGGAGAATACTTTTCTTGCAACTCTGACACCTAACAGAAAAACCTGCCCTGTTCATTCACACCACTGCCTCTGAGTTCTGTCTTCCCCCACCTCCTAATATATCTTTGTTGCCTTTGTGGTGCTTTTCTCCCTGCCCCAGTTGGACTCCTGTCACGGGCTCTGTTCTGTCCGCTGATAGAACAGACACGTCCTTGAAGGTGGCATTAATCCTACTGCTATAGTTCCTGGCCCAACAGGGAATGGGGCCTGCTCACTACCCAGCCAGGGTGAACTGGGATTGGCTTCCAGAAGGACAGCAGAGCAATACTCCCAGCTGCCAGGGGCAGAGCACTTGTCTTTTCCCCCTGACTGAGGAACTGAGGCTGTCTGGTAGAAGGGCCCTGTCATGCTCTGAGGACACATTGTTTGAACTGATGGTGTGATGATGTTAGCCAGAGAACTCTCTTGCTTTAACCTGTTGCCTGTCCTGAGGTAGCTTCATTTGCCCATTAGAAACCTTGGATCAGGCTTGATTCTCATATAAACCAGGCGCAGCCCCTGGCTTGGGCTTTCTCCTGCTCACCCTGCCCCCTCCTTCTCTTCTCCCCCCGCAGCTCCTCTGTGGACAGGGGCAGAGATTGCTGTGGAGATGGGGCACAGTGGAGAGCGCCCCGAGCTTTGTCTGGGGCACGTCTTCCTCTTCCTGGGAAGGAACAAGGAGCAGTTTGTAACCCAGGGCGTTAGATGCGGTCCCTCGGCACCCCAAGCAGGTACTTGCAGGATGTAGGAGTGCACAGACCGGCATGTTGTTCCAAGAAGTGTCCCTGCGCGCTTCTGATGGGCTTTGTCTTGTTTGGCAGATCCTGTCAAGCAGAGCTGTCCTCCCGGCTAACCCAAGAGCAGGCAGTCAGCAGAGTGCTGGATGCAAAGGTGCAGCTGGGAACCAGTGAGAGCAGGCGGCCTGGTGAGCGTCCGGGTAAGGAACAGCTTATCAAACTACACAAATGGGTGCAAGGAGTGGGTAAACAGCAGGACACCCCAGAGCAAGCCACATGCTTGTCTTTCATTGCTGAAAGGATGAAGTTAGAAGTGATTTGGAAACAGATGAGCAGCCAAACCCTTAAATTTAACGTAAAAATTCTTGCTCAGGGAAAGCATTTAAAGCACTCGGGGCATTTGGACTTTAACTGCAGCAGAGTTTCTCAGCTGCAGTTGCAGGAGCAAGCGGGAAGTTTTGGGGTCTGGCAGGTGTTTGTGGCTAAAAATGCAAGGCTGTAGCACAGGCACCCCGTGGCAGCCCTGCTTCGCCGGCCTGTGGCTTACCCTTCCTATGCTGGCAGCGTGTGGGCACCTCGGGTGTGTTACCGCACTGTGCAGTAGAGCAAGGTCTGAATCGGAAGCCGTGGTTGGTTCCCTAACCCAGTCTGGGGGATTGTGCTGTTCGGTCCATGGGGCAAACTGCTGTACACGGCTGGGCAGGCTTGGCCCACCAGCTCCTTATCACGAGGAGTTAGCAAATGACCCTGCTGCCCGTGACGTGCTTCCAGAGATGTGCTCTTTGCTGTTCGTGTCTTAAAAGTGAGACAAGTAGAGATCCTGTTGATTTCTGTCCACTACACTTAATCGCTTTGAGATTCTCTTAATATATAACCCAGCCAGTATTTAAAAAAAAAAAAAAAATTCCTAAGTGGTAGCATTGCCAGAAAAACCCCTCGGTTTGTCAGAGGCAGTTCCAGCTCCCTTCCCATGTGACTCAGGACCCCTAACTGGAACCGCTTTGGGTATGGATGCTTCCCAGCAACACCAAACCTTTGTCTCCGCTCTGTCACAGAGAGCGTGCAGATTGATTAAATGTGTGGTTCCTCTTTCTTGCAGTGCTGGAAGGATGGCCGCCTTCCTTGAAGTCTCTGAGCTTGCCTGAGCTGTCAGCTGTCCTAGAGGAGCGTGTGGGAGAAATGGGTAAGGTGGGGGAGGACTCTGGCCACATGAAGCGACTGTTGTGCTGGAGGGGAGGCATGGCTGGGCAGGTTTTTGATGATTTGGCAGCGGTAGGTTGGAGGGACCTAACAATCCCTCCTCATTCAGGGAAGTCTGCGGGCTCTGAAGTTGGTGCTGGCATTTTCTTGCACTTAACCTCACTGTAGATCTTGGGCTCTGCCTCATCCTCTGCTGACAGGTCTGGGCTGAGAGAAGGAGGGTACGTGCCCCCCCTGCATCTCTTCTGCTCAGTGGTCAGAGCTGCTTGTGAAGTGGTTCCCAAAGCCTGTGTCCCGTTCTCCTGATGACAGGAGCTTATCCCAGCAGCAGGCAGTCAGAGAGCAGGGACACTCCTGTTTTCAGGGCACTGGAAGCTGTGGGGAAGGAGGCAGCACGGAGGCAGGAAAACAGTGGCTGACGGCAGGCTGCAGCCTGGTCTTTACCGCTTGCTGGCCTATTGCTAACACTGATTTTTTTTCCTTTTGGTTTGCCCTTAGGAAAAGCTCTGCAGACTGTGACTCAAAACCTCCAAAGGCTCCAAGCCCCGGGGCAGAGCGGGCAGAGCTGGCTAGAGCCATAACAAAGCAGGAGGGTGAGTGGGAACTAATGACAGCCACAGAGGGCTGTGGCATTGAGGGGGACATCGTTCCTCGCAGCAAGTAACAGCCATCTGCTGCTTGTGCCCAGTGCTCGCTCATAGCCTGCACACTGAGGCTCTACTCTAACTAGTCCTTATGTGCCCTCTGGTTGGTTTTCCCTTTGGAAAATCCTTAGTCCCCTTGTCCCTCTGCCCCACTGAAAGGGTGACTGTCCTCTTTTTTTTTTTTTCCTGTTTTTTTCCAGGAATACTGACGTCGGGTGACTGTTCCACCCGGAAGCTGAGTGTGCCTGGGAGAATGAGCGCGAGGGCCGTGCTGGCAGCACCGCAGCTCTGCTGGGAGCGCCACAGCAGCTGGTGGATGCGTGGAAGAAGGTCTCGGCCATCAGAGAACGTGCCTGGGAGAACGAGGGACAGCAGAAGACAACAACCCAGCAGCTCTTTGGGCCTGACTCTTGTCTGGGTTCCCAGGATCATTGTTGTTCATACCAAAAGGTTAGGTTAAGAGGAGAAGCACTGAGCCCAAAAAGTTTATCTGCCTTAAGCTTCCTGCAGCCCTTGTCATTCAGGGCTGTGTGGTGTTAGAAAGCTGACAGTTACCCACAGCAATCAATTATCCTGTTCCACGTCCTGTCCTCCCCAAGGCCTCTGACACTTGCCCTGGCCCCTTCCATGCCATGTGGATTGCTCAGGAGCTGACCCAGAAAATGTATCTGAGGCAATAAGGAAGGCAGGTTTGTTGTGGATGGGTAAAGTGAGTAGAGTTTGTAATGTTTGGTTTGTTGAGCTGCAGTGAAACTCATGCAGCCCTAATCTCTGGCAGGAATGCCATCCCAAGCCTGTGCTCCAAAACCTCTCCCTCCACCCAGCCCACCCTGGTTCGGTTCAGATTCTTGGCCCCCCTCAGGGGTTGTTTGTGATCATGTTATTCAGTCCCAAAGAACTCGTTTTTGTGGTGCATGCTTTACAGCAGAGACTCGCAGTCTGGTTTGTCAGTGCCAAGATCCCAACGCTGACAGTGGTTGCGAGGCAGATGTTCCCCTGGAAGAACATGAGAGAGAAGGAAGAGCTCGAGACTGTTGAGTCTCCTGTGCCTCTGGCAGGCAGCAGGCTGCCAAGGCAGGCAGAACAAGAACTGAGGGATAGATCAGTCCCACATGGGAGATGGGCAAAAGAAATCACGTCCCAGTAGCTGCGGTGCAAAGCTTTGGTCCCCAGCCACTGCCTGCCTTTGGTTTCTGGGCTTTAGTGTTTGGCAATAGTCCTGCCAAGGCATTCTGGTGTTGGCGGTGTGGGTCTCTTCAAAGGGCAGACAAACGGTGCGGGAAGAGGCTGCCTCCCCAGAGAGACTGCTCCATCTCTTGGAGCTGGGCGAGCAGCCACAAGGGCTCTGCTGACAGTTGCGTTGATGTAAAATGGTTGCCAGTGACGTTCTGTTCCTGTGTATTGCTGAGTCCTGAGGGGGGGGAAAAAAACCCAAACAACAAAACCTGAAGTCTGTGAGCAATGGCCTTGATGAGTCCGGAAGAGTGTTCTTTTTGCGGGAAGGGGAAGAAACTGTGTGTTCCTTCTGATTTTAATTTTTTGGACCTTGATCACAGATGCCAAAACACAAAAATCCATTTGGGCTCCATCCTTTGAGCTAGACACCCCTTCTGATCAGCTGCTCTGGGATCACTTAGGCAGGCTTGAAAGCTAGTCTGCGTTTGCTAAAGGTAACATCTAGTTTGACTGTCCCACGGAACGGGTGTATCTGTGGTTCTGGGGGACAGTCCTGGGGCAGCGAGGCAGGTATGGCCCACTCTGACGTGAACCTGCCCTGCTGGCAGCTTGTATGTCCTTGGCAGCGTGCTCAGCTGTGGGGTGCTGCTTTCTACTCATGTTTAACTCTCTTAAACTTAACGTGGCACCCTATTTTTTCATCTTTAGGAAATGGCGTGGGTGTATGCACGCGGGCGTCTGGTGCTAGCTGCGCAGCAGGCAGTGGGACAAGGCTGCAGGAGATTTCACCCTGAAGAATTAGTTTTGATGAGGTGGAGCCAATTCTCCTAAGGCAGCGTCCCTCAAGCTTCTCAGAGTATTGAGGCTGTGCTGGGAAGAGTATTTTGGGCTTTGTCCTTCATTCCCTGTTGCCGGAGGAATGGTGGGGAGTGCCAAGGCAGGTTGCACTGCCCTCTCCCTGGCCTTGGCGGCGTCTCTGGCTGCACTAGTACAGTGTTGTCAGTGCTGTGTCCCTTGGAAGCCCAGGCTCGAATTTAAGGCAAAATGTCTGTGGGGAAAGGGGAACAGTTTTCATAGAAGCAAAAAAAAAACCCCAAAAACCAACCACCAAACACCCCAAAAACCCAAACGAAAGGGCCTGGGAGCATCTGGAGCGCAAGGGCAGCCCTGGCTCGGCAATGCCTTCAGGGCTGGGTAGGCTGTGCGGGAAAGCGGGTGGCTGGAAGGAGGGACTACACAGACTTGGGGCTGGCTTTGCTGGGTCACAGGGTGGAAGAAAGGGGTTTTGGGGATAAGATGGTACATCCAATAGATTGTAACGCTTGGGGGCCTGGGAAAAAAGGGGTAGGGTGAGGTGCAGCAGTGTACGTATGAAGGAGAAGGAGAGCCCCACAGAAAAGGTGCTGCAGGAGCCCAGCTGTAAAGGCTTAAAGGGGTGCTAGAGTAGCCCAAGGGGGGGACACCAGGAAGGAGATTTTATAGAATAGTGTTTCCCTGAGGAGGCAATCCCTTAAATGGAGGACTTTAAACAGCATACATTGCTGAAAGGGTTGCTGTGCAGGCAGCAGGGAGTCTGGTCCTACCCTAAGGCAGGCTGTCCAAATAAAATAGTATTTGCTGACTTGGATAAAATAATAAAAACTGAAAACCTGTTTCTGGTGTGTGGGTTTCTCTGGAGGGAGCTGGGGTTGTCGAATCGTGAATAACCTCACTGATTTATTTCAGGACAATCGGGAACACGTACAGCGCATTCCAGCTCCCCCTCCCAGGTGGTCGCGTGCTGAGGGGTCTGGGGCTGCCTTATCCGCAGCTTCCCAGCCCTGCCTGGCTCCTGTCGGAGGTGACACCCTTGCCGCACTAGCTGGGCAGTTGATGTGGGAACTCATGGGGTCAGGCAGTGCCAGAGCTGCAGAGGAAGGGCATGCATAGGTAACAAAGCGTGTGCTCCTCTGAGGGCTCGGCGCTCTCCTTCCTGGCTGGGGACTGCCACTTTTGCCCCCAAAAGGTCCCAGTTGCGTGACAAAAGTTGTCTCTGCACTAATTCAGAAATGAGTTTAGGCCTTGTTGAGTTGCGTGCTGGTATTTTCCTCTCAGGATGAAGTACTGGTCTCGTGCCCAGCTCTGGTCTGAGCCCGTTGTGAACTCTTGGTGTGACTGTGCTCTCCTAAACCTTCAGCTGCCCTCTGATCTGTCACTAGAGACAGGCGCTCACGAGGACAGCATTCAGCAGCTATCACAAAAAGTTTTAAATAGGGCAACGTAAAAATCTTTCCGGTCAAAACTAAAGCTCTTGGTGTATCTCAACACAAATTAAGCTGAGTTGGGGTTTGGACTGGTGGGCGTGGAGCAGAGTCGCTCTCGGATCCTTGCCGTCTCAGTCCCGCTGTGTCCTACAGCGGCAGTGGGCCAGCGTGCACAGCCAGGGCTTTCTGTCTCCATACCCAGTTTTGAAACTGCCAGGGGAGAACTGGAAACGGCTCCCCTTTTGCGCTGTGATTCAAGGTCCTTGGGGGTGAGAACGGTTACTTGTCTCTTCTCAGCTCCGTCTTGCACACAGCAGCGCTTCAGGGAGCACCTGGAAGCACAGGACGCGCCGATTCATCGGGGAGACAGCCTGGATCTCGAGAAGAGGGCCAGCTCTCCTCCCAAGGCAGCGTGGCCTCTTACAGCATCAGCTCCTGTAGCAGTGCCCCAAGCGCACGCACCGGTGCTGGGCTGCTGGAGCTTGCAGCACCCGGCAAAGCAGCAGAGGAGAATCCAGACAGCAATCCAGCTCCTGTCCAGGAGAAACTACCTGCTCCCTCGGTCTGCGTGTGACGGCTCTGCTGCTACCAGAGCTGGCGTGTGGTTTGGGTCGCTGTTTCGATTTATCACCAGCCTGTTAAGTGTGTTCTTTTGCTGCTTTCCTCCTGGTGTAACCTGTAACGTAACCCTAGGGAGGGGAGCACGGTGCTATCCGAGCCAGGGGCTCTGGGTACCTGTTTAATACGCCTGTAACTGGGAGCGTGTGTGCTCAAGTGCAAATTAGTACCCTCACACACGCAGCCCGAGAGCTGTTTCCCTCCCTCAGAGCAGACAGAAGCAGCATGCTCTGCTTGCTGAAAAATAAACGTTTATTTACATCTGAAAAGAGAGTTAAATGTGCAAAATGGTTTCACAGGGGTTACATCGATCCAGGAAAACTCCTGCGTGACTCTCCAGCCTCGAAGCCGGCTGCCGCCGAGCCTGGCGCAGCCTCTTGCCTTTCTGTGCTCAAGGCAACCCTCCTTGAGACACTGCACCTGCAAGAGGCTCTCCCCCAGCCCGTAAGCGAAGGGGGCTGGAGATGGAGAACCACCTGTGTCCACTTGCATCTAGTGGAGAGTAAAAGCTGCTTTCTCCCTCCTGGAGTGGCCTTTTCTGCAAGGTAAAGCATTGCGCGGTAGGAACAACAGACGCGGCAGCATGTCCG